ATTTAGGATCGCGCCGAACGATTCCTGTGTGTCCCGATTTTTTTCTGTTCTGCTTTTAAGGCCCGGAACCGTAGATAGGGAGACCGGCCGTTTGCTCGGCTCGCATTCCACCGAAGAGAGGAAGGAGTTTCATTCTTATTGAAACGCTGCGGCGGGATTCGGATCCTTAAAAGTAGGAGCAACGATACGTTCAATGATGTAACTCACGAATTATCAGTTGTCATCGTTATAATTTAATCGAGTGACTTCCGATGTTGATTCTCGACCGATTCAATCGCTTGGTGAATAGATATACGAAGAATCCTCGACTGTTTGGATCGATATAAATTCATTGTTTCGTTGATTATCGAATAGTTTCGATCGATAGATTATAGGAATAAGGATTAATTATTCATTATAGCGATAATTATTAATTATTAATTATTCTCTTAAATTCGAATTAAATTTTATTCTTCTGATATCGCTTGGTGAATAGATAAACGAAGAATCTTCGACTGTTTGGATCGATAAATTGATTGTTTCGTTGATTATTGAGTATTTTCAATCGATAGATTATAGGAATAAGAATTAGTCATTCACTATAGCCATGATTATTAATTATTAGTCATTCTCTTAAATTCGAATTAAATGTTATTCTTCTGATATCCAATATTAACCAATATTAATTCCATTTCAAACTACCAAAAATTATCCAATCTAGATTCCTTCTTTCGCAATTATTAAAAAGATAACACACATTTCTCCGAGAAATTATTAAAGAAACTAATTCGCCAATGTACAAATCCAATTATAAATCAATTAAAGTCGCAACAGATGCACCGGTGGACTTTCTACAAAGAAATTTCGAGAAGCTAATTGAACTGCTCGATAGTTTTATCGTTAATGGCGTCGGTGATCGCCGAGGCAGTCGGTTCCCCGATTGACTTCTGATTTATCGAAGTAAGACGAGAGCTACATGGAGCATAGTGAATCGAACCTCGGACTTTGTGGAGCATGGGTACGGAGGAAAGAGGTGCCCTGAAGGTTGCAAGTCAAGGCTAGGCACTTTCACTTGGGAGCGAAGCGTGCTCTCTTGGGAGCGCGGTACGAGCTGGCTTCCCACCTTACTTTACTATTTACTTTTCTACCTGGCCACTGACGACCGGGGGACCGAATTACACCCATTAAAGGAACCCGGAGGTATTACGCCCTCCTCCCCACCCCCTGTGATTAAACGATTGCGCTGCGACGCGCTGGAACACACCGAGATGAGCAACGTGGAAATTAATCTCCGGTGCAACTGCGTCTCACGATTAGTTAGTTCTTTAAGAAGACGCTTCAGGCTTGACAATTTCTTTGTTGCGGAAGAACTTAATAATCTGCGCGGGAAACTAATGACGAACGGGTGATTTACTTTTTTAGAACAGTTTGTTTAAATTGAATTTTAAACGGAATTGCTGTAGTTCACGCAATTAAACGATGATTATTTGAAAACATTTAAAAGTAGACGAGGGAGTTCGTTTTTAGACAGTTTGTTTGAAATGAATTTTAAACAGAATTGCTGTAGTTTATTCTATTAAACGATGATTATTTGAAAACATTTAAAAGTAGACGAGGAAGTTCGTCTTTAGACAGTTTGTTTGAAGTGAATTTTAAACAGAATTGCTGTAGTTCACGCAATTAAACGATGATTATTTGAAAACATTTAAAAGTAGACGAGGGAGTTCGTTTTTAGACAGTTTGTTTAAACTGAATTTTAAACAGAATTGCTATAGTTCAATCTATTAGACGATGATTATTTGAAAACATTTCTATTATAAATAATGCTACCTAATGTGACTAGATGAACGTGCAATAATAATGCAATTCAATCTAATGATTCAATATTACAATTTTTCCATTTCGTGTATTCTGCTGTATAAAATCTGTATTCGACGTGTTAAATTAATGAGTTAGATGATTTTGATTAAAATTATTATTGTATAATAAAGGTTACATTTGAATAGTTTATTCGATTCGGAGTGTTTGGTTAATTGCGTTTTACACTGAGTAACGAAGGGTTACTGATGAAGGGTGAAAAGATAGATGGTTTGAAAAATGAGAAATTATGGAGAGTATTATTTTATTCATTTGTTTTACCTTGGGAATATGGTAATGACGTCGTATAAGATTTCCATCGAGTAATCAACGAGAGAAATATTTCTCGTCGAAATTACACGGTCGTAGCGGTGAGAAAGAAATAATGGGTACATCAGAGAAGAAATGTAATAATTTGTATAAATTAATGAACAATTATTTCCAACGATACAGCCGTAGAATAACAGTTTCATAACACGTCCGGTCATTCTTGTTTCGCTGATTGTATCATTGTTTTCTCACGGGTGTACCGCGATGATGATGATGATTATAAGGAACATTAACGCCTTTCCAATCGGAGTCGCATCTGAGAAAGTATCGCACGAAGAATTGCATTCTGCATCACGTAAGTAGAATGCATTAGCGCGCCTTGTCGTTTTGATTAAAACGTTCCTGATGACGCGATATACGCGGCGCACAATCGTGCCGTAACTCAGACAATTGAAAAAGCATTCGTAGCGCCGCGGAATTGAAGATAATACCGAATTGTCCCTTGTCAACGCACTGCGCCATTAACAATTAGCGCCGTAAATCAGAAAACTTGACGGAGTAGCGTGCGCAATTCGATAAAGAACTATGCCACGTAGATTCAAGTGGAATTTGCAACAATCTTATACAGAAAATGTCATTTCCATTCACTTGTTTCATCGGACGTGCCCATAGAATTGTAGAATCTAGTCAATTATCTCCTTGAAACATCTCAAACTTGGCTACCCTATGAAATACTCACAATCTACGTATCACTGTCGATCCCATCGATCTTTCTACGTTATCGAACAAAGCATCAACCAAAAATATTCACTAAAAATTACACGGATCTCACCGAAAGCCAGAAAAGTGAATAACCTTGATCAACCGCGAGAGGATTCAGAAAAATCGAGGAACATTCGAGCAAATCGGAGAAGGTTCACCGTAAAAATGAGAATTCCAGCGGAATCCCGTTGTTGGAGCACTTTCGTTGGCCGCTGTACGCAATAAGGAACTGAAAGGAGCAACATTATTAACTACTCGGGTGAAAGTAACGTATTACTAGGATAATCTCTGGAAGAATGTCAAATAAACGGCGAAAAGGAGAAAGAGGAATCCGGATTAGAAGATCATCGGGAAATGCACGGTCGACTTTCACCGAGGAAACACAGATACAATTCGGATATATTCGGTATCTCGAAGAAAATCGGCGATTACAGCGTGTTCACCGTGATCGATGTGCCAACGAACGATGACTCACGGTACGCGCGTTCCGATCGTCGATCGGATCCAACGAGAAATCGCGATACCGCGGCTCACGGCCGTTCTTCGAGGGAACGAAGCGTCGCGCGACTCGGTGTTATTAAGTCGAGTGGCCTTCTTAATGGAATTAACGCGTAATTTCCTGCTCCCGCGTTTCTGCGCGTTCGCTGTCAACTTTTCACTGTCATATGGAATAACTGTAACTAACACGATTTCAAACGCACGAAAGAATCACTGGAAAAGATTGTTTCTAGGAAAGACGTGCCGTTTCTTCGATGAAACTGGCGTTGAGGCACGGAAAATTAACGATATTCGTGTGTTAGTGATTATTGATGAGGGAATTTAATGAATTGAGGTCTTGAGATTGCGGTAAGCAATGCGAATATGTCGATACCAATCGTTTCTTCGCGTCGTTTTCAAGGAATGCCGAAGAGTTAGTCATTGGTCATCGTTGGAATCGGTGGATTAACACTGGAGCTATGGAAATAAGCATTTCCAATTTCTCATTAAAATTAGAAGAGTATTTGCTTGTAAAATAAGTATTTATTATTTTTGGTTCTTATAATTTCGATCAGTTGCGAAATGAAAATTCTGAAATAGGTCATCTCGAGCTGTCCCGTGTTTCCAGCGTTAACCAGGCCATCTCAACCGCGGTAAACTGATGTTTGATCTGTGGGCCGCAAGATTTCGTAATTAACGTTCATTAGCGGCGGGCGAGCTTGTCATTCTCTGTTCGAGGAAAGAATTTCCGACTGTAAATCTCTTTTACGAGCGGCTTTTCTCGCCGGGGAGATCCGTTCCATCGATTCCTTCCCGAGTCGATCCCGCTTTCAATTTTTACGAGGTTAGAGACCTCTGCAGTGAACGCTGATATCGGTTTCTTCTCTAATTTTAGATCAGACGGACAGTAAAAAGTCGTTTTCCCCTTGATTTCATGCGATTCTAGAGATGTTTACAAGATTTTCTCTTTCGACCGTCGCTCCCGCTTTCGATTTTCACAAGGCCGAAGGACACCTTTGCTATTTACGCTAAATGTCTCTCCGATTTCGTAAGACCGAATAATTTACATAATAAACGATGCAAATACTAGTCCTCCTTTCGATTCCACAACTTTCCAAGAATCTTTACACAATTCAATTACGAGCCTCCGGAATCCTTGGGCGACAGATGAATTCCCAAGAACTGCATAAAACGCCTCTTCCTAAAACCAAACAACCTGCGCAATTTCGAACAGAATTCAGCTATCGCTACGCCCATTTGAACTTCATTCAAAACTTTAACCCTTAGCAGTCCTATGTCGAGTCAGACTCGACTTTCTATTTTATTGCAACCTCTACACGTTTTAACAATTTTTTCTATATTTGTAGTATCACAATTGTACCATTTAAAGGTAACATTTCAATGACTCCAAAGTATTCTTAATATCGACATTTCTGACCTTGCATGACCTTGAAGGTCACTCCCCAGTATACGAATGAATTTGTCCGAACACACGCTTTTACGCGATATAAACAAAATATACGGCATTCCATGAAAAAAACATGAAAGTCACCTTCGCATCCAACAAAACTACTCTCTCCTCTTTCATTTTTTTTCTGGTATCCTAACCAGCGTTTCGTGATAAGAAACGTATTCTAACCAGCGTTTCATTCCAGGCTCGCTCGGCCAGAAGCAGCAGCAGGAGGACCCCTGCCAGACGAAGTCCCGCGTGGTCGGCGACATAGAGTACTGCGACCGTTACTGGGAATGCGTGAACGGCCGCCCGGAGCTGTTCGACTGTCCGAACGGCCTCGTGTTCGCCGGCAAACACCGCGGCGTGACCGAGGGCTGCGACTACCCTTGGCGGGCGAATTACTGCGACGGCAAGCGCCAGGCTAACCCGCCGATCCCGGCGGACCACTGCGATTGGCTCTACGGCATATTCGGCCACGAGACCTCCTGCACCAGGTACTGGACCTGCTGGAACGGCACCGCCACCGAGCAACTTTGCATCGGCGGGCTTCTGTACAACGAACGAGCTAGGTCCTGCGACTGGCCCGAGAACGTGGAGGGATGCCAGAAACATCGTGAGTATCGCTGCATCCTGAATGGAATGAACGTTTCCTCTTGGTAATGGTTGCACTGGTCTAACCTCTTGCACTCTGGCCACTTGCGCTAACGAATTGAGAAACGGGATCTCGCGCGAAGAATTTTGTCTTCGCGTGTTATGTATGGGGAATGGATGTATTGATGAGTGATGAATGTGCAATAGGTGAATGACGCGACTGGTGTGAGCGGGTTTTGAATGTTCAAAGCATTGGAATATTCTAGGCTAAATTGATTTTCTCTATATTGACTCTTATGTTAACCCTTTGCACTCCAAAGGTGTTGAACTTGGAAAATTATTTTAAGTTAAAAATTCGGAAGGTTCCCTTGAGTTTCGCTAGAAATAGTGTTAAATCCGTAGAAATAGTGACTTAACCCTTTGCACTGCTAACCCTTGACACAGGAAATCGTAAAGTTTAAACCTTTGCACTCGAGAACTTTTTCACCGGAAATATTCGAAATTTTCCTACGAAATATGGACGACATTCTTCAGCTACCGGAGGCCTAATTAGATTCTTAATGACTATTGTGTAAAAAGTAGTTCGATGTGTCCTATAGAATAATTTCAATTCCAATCGCAGTTTATCGACGAGTTTATGAAGATGTCTGTAGGCGCCGGTTATCGATTTTTGAATGTTTACCCTTCGATCTCGCCGATCCGAGCGACAAGACTCGCGCGTCGAGTCCCGCGACGACCGGCGGCCGAGTGAAAGCCTTAAAATACCCGCCTCGCGGGCTTCTTTAATTTATTTTCGCCTGGAAACAGCTGTTCCACCGTCTCTTACGCAAAACATACCTACATTTTGCCCCGGGGCGATCGTTCGCGATCGTTCTCGCTTTCGAAAGCGAGCGTACACTGCCGTGCACAAGTGTTTGGACACATTCGCAGCGCTAGACATGCGTGAAAGTGAAGTTGCTCTTCCAGCAAAACGTTTTAATACTTTAACGCTCGGTTACTTATCATTCCTAGTATCCTGATACAATAATTATTAATACAATTGATAATATCCTAGAAATTTAGACAGCTCGTTCCTTAAAATTAATTCTATTTGCACAAGTATATGGATCTATTGCACGATCCCTTACAAAAGAATAATCATAATTTAAATAATTCTGAAATAACATTACGTTTATAAAATAACATTCTGCTGACGATGGTAGTCACATGAATATATTAATTTTTTCTGAGAATTTTTCCTTTGCACTCGGAACACTTTCCGAGATAAAGATATTTTGTGAAACTCGAAAAATCATACAAAGCTATTTTTCAATATTTCAAATTCATGCATTATACAACGTATATTAACACGAATGCGCACGATTTCATAGAGCAACGCACACAAAACAGTAGAAATATAATGTCGAATCATTCGATTGAGGTGCGTTATTATTATTGCACTTTCATCTAGCTAAATGTCATCGCATTGGGTAGCATTATTTATAATGCAGAAACGTTTTCAAATAATCGTCGTTTAATTAAGTGAACTATAGTAATTCGATTTGGTCGGGGGTCACCGGTGACCCATGGCATTCAACGTGTTAAATATCAAATTTTATAGTACTGCATGAAGTCTGACGGTAAATGAGAGTCACTCGAGTGCAAAGGTTAATTATAATAATTACAATGGATATTCTATTATAACAGAGATGTAAACACTTCACAAATACTTACGCATGGCAGTGTACAACTATGTGTACAACGTACGCACGCGCCGGTTCCATTTCCTTTTTTCGTCGGTCGAAGTCACTGCCCTCCGGGATGAAAAAGAGGTGAGCCACTAATTAGTATTCGAAGTGAACGCTCGTCACGCCTCCGTCCCGGCCCCACGCATCGGTGATTGTCAGCGAGGCAGTAGCTTGACAACTCGAACGAAATCCTCTCGTTGATCGGTACGCCTCGTGAAATTGTTTGCACTTTCAAGATCGCCGCGCCGAGCGTTCCTTTCGACCGCTTCGTATTCTTTAGAATTCAAACGCTTCTTCTCGATGAATCTCGGAGTAATTTCTTTTACGAACTTTCACGGAAACGATTGTAATCCCGTTGGAATCGAACGATTGTAAACGTTATTGCCACAGGAGTTTACGGAATACATTATTTTCTCTCCTAGGAATCGGCGTTTTAGGATGTGTAGGTATGTGGCGCTAATTTATGTCCCCCAGACGCTCAGCGTGAATTAAGATATAGAGGTAGCTTTTTTAACGGTCATTAAAACGGCAGATAAAGAGAGCCGATCGAGTCGAGAGAGACGCGTGAATATAAATCTTCGGGGCGGTATCGGTAAAAAGTTGATTAATATTTACGAGCATCTTTCGGGCCATTGAATAAAACATGCGGCGCGTTAGGTATCGGAGACACATTAGCCTCGAGGTACTTAATTTTGTCCGTGTCCGTGGAATACGTGAACCACCTGAGGATAATATAAAAATCGGTGTACACGTTGCAGTGTAAATTGATTTTCTACGTTGAATATTCATGCGTCATAAGTCGCTTCTAGGAAAGCGTCGCCGTTGCTGCTTTAGTCCCTTGCGAAAGGAGAGGGAGCTGTCCAATAGCGTAAAAGGTGCTTACGCTTGGGAAACCTTCGGCAAAAAACATGCTTGCAATTCAAACTAACAATGTCCCGGTGGAGTTTTGTGTAGATTGTTGATGTGTGCAGTTTGCGGACGCAATGTACGATTAACCCTTTGCACTCGGAAGTATTTCGTTGGAAGTACTTAACGATTTCTAACTAGATGATATTTTTTAAAATTAACTCAAAGAGAAATCGCAAGTTGAGAAACAAAGCTCTTTTATCCCAATACGCACCGATGCATTATACACGGTTCTTAATTCTAATAATTATATGATTAATTATTAGATATCATATTAATTATATAATTAATTATTAGATATCAGTGATTATATAAATAATTGTTGGATATCATATTAATTTTATATTTAATTATTAGATATCATACTAACTATATGATTAATTATTAGATATCACACTGATTATGTAATTAATTATTAGATATCAGTGATTATATAAATAATTGTTGGATATCATATTAATTTTATATTTAATTATTACATATCATATTAATCCCTTTTCCTATGATTTCTTTCACAACTCTGCTTAATAAACCTACATTACCATTAACAGTTCAGTAAAAAAAGAAAATAATTCGTTGTGTATAATGCGTTATGCAAGGTATAATAAATATCAAATTTTACAATTTCACTTCACCAAACCAGCTGATGACTGAGAGTCACCTCTCGAGTGCAAAGGGTTAAACTGTTACTAAATATTGAAAGAATTCGGTATCCGTCAAATTGACGGGTTGAGCGCCGGCAACGTATCGGCCACTTAGCCCAAACGGCTTGCATCTGATCAATGAGTAGCCAAAAGAAATATTCAAAACACACAATTCCATAAAATAGTACATTTTAATTGCATACTCGTCAAGCCCAGAAATTCAAATCCAGAAATCCGCGTTATTGCCTGCGCTCAATGCGTGTTCTCGAGTTCCGCCGAGAAAACGCGCTGCGCGGCCCGTTACACGGCGTCGTCTCCGATTACACGTAACCGTATCCACCGACAGCTCTGTGCAACGACGACGCGAACGGCAACGTCCCGCTGGGCAAGTCCTGCAACCGTTACTGGCAATGTCAAGGCGGCTACCCGCGGCTGCAGAGGTGCCCGGCGATGCTGGTCTTCGACCGGAGGTCGCTGAGGTGCGTGGTCCCGCCCACGGAGGACTGCGACGTGCCGACGACACCGCCGAACCTCGAGGGCGACCTGCCGGAGGGCAGGAACGAGCAGGAGCCGGAAGAGGAGAACCTGCCGCCGGGCGTGCCGCCATTGCCCGCCGGCGCGCTGCCGATCCCCCTTCGACCCCGTCCCAGAAACTAAATCCCCCCCGCTCGGTGTAGATAGAAATTAGATCGAAGAACCAATTCGAACTGACACTAGAACTACCGCAAGCGAAACTATGATGACAGCCAGCTCAGGCTACTTTGTTCAACAGTTATCAGGGAAATCGAGGGAACAGATGGTGTCTAACTCCATTGTTGGAATCGATTCGATTCCTATAAAGGGAATCAGTTTTAAGCAGCCATATTGTTGGCTTCGTTAATTGAACGTTTCGACGATGGACGGTTGAATACAAATTATTGGATGATACTGGGGAGACTTTATAGCATGATTCTCGATGCTTGCTACGAGTACTAAACTGAATTTCGGTGATCGGTAGTTCTAGTGTTAAGGGGGTCGGTCGCGACCCTGGAACCCATGAGATCGCTGCCAGAATTCTCGACGCCCAGCGCGTCGGGAGATCGTGTCTCGTGAGAGAATGGTTGTTAACACGTTTCGCGCCTTTTATTTCTTGGTTTCTAAGGGTACGATCGTGGGAAGCGATTCTTTGTGGTGAAGATTGAAAGGGTGTAATGTCTCGGTCTTCGAGAGAATTTGCGAAGTCTGCCATGCTCGTGTTCATTTCGTTTAGGAGCCCTTGTCTTTATCGGGTAGGAAGCTTCAGAAGAAATTGTTAGAATTGATCGTCTCGAGAGCGGAAACCTGAATCAACCGATTTTATTCTGCACTCTCGATTTCTCCGGCATAAAGAATCGCTTTCCACGAGGTCGCGTTGCGCTTTCGGTCGCAATTTGTATGAATGTGGTCGAGGATGTCGAGCGATTTTCACTGTTTGCAATGGAAAAAGGAAAGGCAGAGATGGAAACGATCGGTTACGCGGAGCAGCGCGACTCGGGGAATATGTAAATCCCGCGGGACCGGCGCGAAACCTGTTGAATTAAGATTCTTTTTTATATTCACCGCTTCGTTATAGGATTTTTTTGTAGTCGACGTGGTCGGAAGGAGCAGATATTATTATTCTATATTTTTCGTCTGTTTGTTCTCCTCCCTTTTCCCCCCGATTCCCCCTTACCGATCGGCGGGTTCGTCGATCGTTTATCGTGCACGTGCCGTAGGTTAAGAGGATTCGATCGTATCGAGCACGTTTTATCTTTTTCTTTGTTTAAACCGATCCTCCGATCACTGGACTGGGCATCTTTACGCATTCGCCGCGCGTCGAAATTGAAACACGGAGAACGCGTGCATTAACCGGTTCACTGTGCTCGACGAATGTACTCGTCATCTTGGAACAAGCGATTCCTTCAACGATTCATTCGTTTTTCGAACAAATGTAATTCTTTATCGTTTACTTGAATCTTTTGGTTTGAATGTGTGAGTCGCTCAGAAGTCAGTGCGATTTATTTTGGAAAACATTGAGAAAGTTAGTATTCTCTTGAGCTATTTTTGGCTTAAATATTTTCTAAAGCTATAAAAGAAAGGCTTTCTGATATAGAATGAAACGAAGAATCGAGTAAATCCTTTGATAGCTGAAAAGAATATTATTCCATTACAATTTAGAAAAATCAGAGAACCGAAAGATCGACTTAATCTTAAGCTACAAAAAGAAAGGCTTTCTGATATAGAATAAAACAAAGAGTCGAGTAAACCCTTTAATAACTGAAAAGAATATTATTCCATTAAAATTTAGAAAAATCAGAGAACCGAAAGATCGACTTAACCTAAAGCTACAAAAAGAAAGGCTTTCTTATATAGAATGAAACGAAGAATCGAGTAAATCTTTTAATAACTGAAAAGAATATTATTCCATTAAAATTTAGAAGAATCAGAAAATATCAAATTGACTGAACTTTTCGAGCGACTCATACGAAACTGAATTCCACAGTTGAAGCTGGTTAACCAAAATTCATGCTTCCATTTGATCGTCAGTTCGAGGAATCTAGTCGGCGAGATAAACTGACCGTTGCGAATGATCGTTGTCCGGGAGATCCGCTTAAAGATGCGCGGCCTATTAATCGTCCGCGAGGATCGCTTAACCAGCATCACCATCTGTTCTATATCATTCTTATAGTCGAAATGTAAATACTATTTTCGCCTTAGTCGTAAGACAGTTTACTATACCGGGACGTTCGCACATGTACGATTGTAGTACTCGTTGAAATAAAGTGTACGTTGTATATGTTTTTTTTTTCGTACTCGTGTCCACATTTTATTCGAACATGTTCGTTGTACATATCGTTGCTTCTTCGTCGAATAATTTACGCCCGGCCGAGCGGGCCGGTTGATTGTTGAGCTTTGCAAGAAAATCGAATTGATCCGGTTCGATCGACGCGATGGGAATTTTACATTGACGTTTCTTTTCCGATTTCACGTGAATACTTTCGTTCGGAGATCGCTCGCGGTTCCGATGATAAATATCCGAACAGGATTACGTTGTACCTTTCAGCCGTCCCATAATTCTGTCTCGCTGTTTTCCGAGTGATCGTTTAAATAACCGGTTGCAGGGGAATGTTGAAGACTTCCGGATTTCGGGAGGTCGCGACTGCTGCTCGACGACCGCTCGATTACGCTTCCCTATGTTATTTAAAGGTTATTGGCACTGGAACAGAGAAGAGTTTGTTCGTAGAATGTTGCTCGCGTGCTTTTCGTTGGATAGTTGGATTTTGTTGATAAAGTACCAGTGAGGAAGCTCGTCGGGTTCCAGGCAGGACAGGCTCACGGAGTCGAAGAGCTTGTGGTCTCCGCAGGTGAGCAGGCGAGGATGGCCGTCGACGCAGGTAATCAGTCTACCGCAGTCACCGGGTACCGGGAATCTGAAAAATAAATGCGGTAACAACCCTTCGCACTCGAGAGGTGACCTGATTTGATGAAAATTATAAAATTTGGTATTTAACACTAGGTTCACGGAACGCGTCAATTTGAAGCAGATTGAATTTTATAAACATTTGGTAAATGTTTCAATCGGTTATCGTTGATCCAATTACACGAATATGAATCCCTACGATTGAAAGAAATCATAGGAAAAGGGATTAATATGATATCTAATAATTAATTATATAATCAATATGATACTCTAATAATTAAATATGAAATTAATATGATATCCAACAATTATTTATATAATCAATATGATATCTAATAATTAATTATATAATTAGTATGATATCTAATAATTGAATATAAAATTAATATGATACCAAATAATTAATTATATAATTAGTATGATATCTAGTAAATAATCATATAATCAATATGGTATCTAATAATTAATCATATAATTAGTATGATATCTAATAATTAATCATATAATCAATATGATATCTAACACAGAATTATCAAGAGAAAAAAGAAGTGCAGAACAACCTCGGAGTGCAAAGGGTTAACATGGCCGACGCGGAACGGAGCGTGTCTACTTATAAGACACGCGTTCCCCAGCAGGCGCGCGGGCGCGGTGGACCGGTTTTTAATTTGCGCGCCGGTTAAACGTAAATCGCTTGATATTTAAGAAGTCCGGCTCGTTTCGCTCTCGACCGAAACACGCGCAGTATTTTCTGCGACTCTTTCACCGGCGATGTTGTTTATCGAGAAAGGCGTCCGCCGACTTTCACGCGTTTTATGCCTTTTTGCCGGGCCGCGCGCGCAACAACTTGCCGGTGGAAATAAAAAAAAGCACGATCGCCGGCGATTCTTTTTTTTTCACCTAACGTCTTTCCCGCTTCTCGGAATTGCACGAGGAAAAAAAGTATGTTACGACCGCCGTTCCCCCCGGGGGTAAGGTGAATACTTTCCGCGATGGAAAATAATGGCCGCCCCTTTAGGCCCGAGTCGTTATAAATTCCCTGGGCGGGAATGATAATGGAAAGTGTACTTAACACATTGCGTGCGGGCCATGTTGTTCGTTTCAACTTAGATCGGTTGCATTCGATTCGTGTATTTATTATTCAATGTTGTCGAGAGTTTCCATTGCAAATAGAAATACTTTCAATCAGCAAAGGGAATCAGCTATCTACTTTTATCAAAAATGTTAATGAAGTTGTACAAGTGTTTATTTATTTTATTTTTTATTTCAAATTTAATATTATTCTCCTGTTATCAAGTGTTATACTTTGGAGCAAAGATTGATGTAGAATACACCTTTAAACACAAAGTTTTTGCTTCTAAAAACATTCAGTCAAAATGAGGTTTGTACTTATCCTGACCTGAAAGTCAATGTAAAGTATTAATTTCAAAACTGGCACGTGACTGCTAGATCACTGCTTAGACTGCTTAGTCTAGACATCTAGACTAAGAAATTCAGCTAGTTCATTCTATCGTTTTTCTCAATCCATTTCCTGTCGGTTTCGTTTCCTAATTCCTATTCGATCGGTAATTTACTTGTAACGTTACAGGTAACCAATCAAAACTATAAAACTGTAAGTTAACCCTTTGAACTCTGTGGGCTGCAATATTGCACAATTGTAATATTAAATATTTCAATGAATCTTAAAGAAACTAGAAGAAATGTTGTAGCATTTCTAATTTAAAACATTTCTAAAAAACTTCCGAGTACAAAGGGTGAAAAATTTATCGAACATAAATTCTAAAGAATAATAAATATCTCTTGATCGTAAAACAACACTACTCAGAAAGAAACGTACCTCGGGTAAGGCCAGAATTTAGCGGCCGCGCTGTGGGGTGGCACTTTGTGCGGGCACTTGAAGCCGACGATTTCCTCCGGGTTGCAGTAGGGCAGCAGTTGATCCGGCCAGACGCACGTGTGACTCTTCGGCTCGTACACTAATCCGGCGTCGCACTGCGTGTCCTTCGGAATACCGTGGACGCATTTAATGTAGTTAGTGCTGCATGAGTCGCTGGCGGGGTACATGCCGAATTGGTACTCGCAGCCGGGACTGCTGATCGGAGTGACTGGAAACGACGTTTCGTAACGTTACAATGTACTCTTGAAATTTAACCAGTTAACACGTTGAACGCCGCACGATTTCATACCGTCGAATACGCAAGATGAGAAAAATATGATATTAAATCGTTCGATTGATTTGCATCATTATTATTGCACGGTGATCTAGGTTAATGTCATCGTATTAGGTAGCATTATTCGTAATGTAGAGATGTTTTCAAATAATCATGGTTTAATTGAGTGAGCTATAGTAATTCAACGTGTTAAAATATTTAATAGTACAACTGGTGCAATATTGGAGCCTACAGAGTTCAAAAGGTTAAAACTAATCATTAATTCTTAGCAATTAATATCATTAATCTTTAGTAATTAATAATATTAACCTCTAGTGATTAATAATATCAGTTTTTAATCATTAATAATATCAATTCTTCATAATTAATAGTGTTAATTCTTAATAATTCTTTAACAAGTCCTTTTTCTTAATAAATTATTTACTACAAAGTAGTTGTATCGATCATAGTTGGGAGATTCAGGAGAGTTAATCTATTTAGTGAAGTAAGAGATTGATTTACTTCAAAATTCGAAGTCAATGTACTTCAGTTTGTAATCGAATTACTGGATTGAAGCTGTTTTGGTCCAACATTTAGCTACTAACGTCAAATTATTTCAGTTCAAGGTTCAACCACTAGAATCGAAGTGTTTATTGTGAACTTTCACAAGTCGAATCACTAGAATTAAACAATTTCACACGGAAATATAACGATCAAATCCGAACGATTGCAGAAGCTAGTCTGCGGTGGAATAAAAAATAATATTAGCCCGTGCCAGATCTGCATGATGAATGGTCCCAGCGTGACACAGTGAGACAAGGTTACTAAAATTGTTCAGTCACGCAACTTTTACTTTCTTTCACGGGTGCCACGCGTGGTCATAAGTTTCTTTGGAGCGAAATCTGAAGCGCAGCTTTCTCAGCACACGAACAACTCAGTTTTAACCGAAGCCTTCGGGTGCACGTTGACGAGGTTCACTGAATTTATCGCTAACATTCGCTGCCTCGGCATACACAATGTGATAAATATTAAATATACCGTGCCATTAATTCGAAATTAATTAGACTACATTTTGAATAAAATCCAAATTTCCTATATCACTATATTTTACCTGTATTTCTTATAATATACCATATTGAAATTTCTGTATTATACTACACTGTAAATAAAATAAATAATTATACAAAGCTCAGATAATTAAATAAAATTCTAACATTCTTATGTGAAATGAATCACACTTTATTTCCAAATTTCCTATATTACTATATTTCTCCTATATTTATTATAATATGCCATAATCTCTGTATTATACTGCACTGTAAATAAAATAAATAATTATACAAAACTCGCATAATCAAATAAAATTCTAACATTCTTATGTCACTCTTACTTCATCGGAACCTACACCGAAAGAAATAAGTTCCTAATCAACCAGGACCTTCGTAAATGAACGAAAAAGAAAAATTACATTTGAATAAAATATCACTATGTTAAGTATATTCGTTGCTAGATCAATTTATTATGCAGAGGTCCGTCCACCGATGAAAGATAAACCGTCGCTCGCGCCGCTGCGCGTGCTTGTTATGACATTGTAGCGATTATCGAGAACGCAACGCGATACTTACGGTCAGCCTTGCGATCCCCGCATTTTACCGCCCAGTGATAGTTGCAGTGATCGTGCACAGCTCCATGGCCGTCGAAAAGCAGTCCGTTCTCGCAATATTCGAGGGTCAGGGTGCCGTTGGTGCATAGGAAAAACGCGTTGCAAATCTCCGGGTGAGCGTACGCGTGGGTGCCATACGGATCCGGGCAGGGCGGCGCTCCCAAAAGGGTTGCTGCCTCGGCTGAAGGACAAACGAACTCTTTGCCTTACAATATCGTGTCGAACACGAGGCAAAAATTTCTAATACGGTTTAACATAAATATTGAGTTGTGTTGACACATTGCGCACCGGTAAAGAAATCTCGTTTTTATTTAAAGACATTAGCTATGCTCGCTGATTACCACAGTATTGAAAGAATATAAAATTTCATTCGAATTGATTGTCTATTTAAAATGTGTTACATAACAATATATCTGAGTTTTTCTATGTATGTATAAGTTGGGCTTAGTGAGAATTGCCATTACAATTTAGTTTTCTGAAAATTAGCCGGTACGCGATGTAAGTTTGAATGATGAATTGTTCTTGTTAATAGTTTGTATGGTTTATACTGAATCTATAGGAAGAGCATGAAATGTTTTCTTTTAGTACATTATTAACGATAAATAGTTCTGCATCTGTGAAATTAAATTGGAAGGCAAGGGGTTAATAGGAGATTTCATCGAACAGAATAGACAAATCGAAAAGTAATATTAAATCATTCGATTGAACTGAATTATTATTGCATGTTCATCTAGCTGAATGTCACCGCATTAGACGGCATTATTTATAATATAGAAATCTTTTCAAATAATCATAGTTTAACTGAGTGAATTATAGTAATCAGTGTCGATGACAGTACACGCGAAATGCTTGAAATCTTAACCCCTTGCCCTATGATTTGTTTCTTAACCCCTTGCCTTATAACAACGTGTCAGACTCGTGGTGAAGATTTTAAAGAGAATCCTACAAACATAAATATTACTTAATTTTTGTGAATAAAAATTGAATGGTACTCTTCTGTTACGAATTATTATAGCTTAGAGCAAACATAGATGTAGAATGTGCCTAGGATTTTTGTCTTTTTTCAATCAATTTTTAATAACAAAGTAGGCGTGTCGATCATAGTTGAGAAAGGAATTGTAGGTCAAGAGGTTAACTATGATCGATACAGCTACTTTATCGTGAATAATTGATTGAGAAAAGGAAAAATGATGCTTATTCTATATCTACGTTTATTCAAGAGGTTATTATCGGTTAATAATAGAAAAGTGATATTTTATTTATATTTGGAAAAGATAAATAAGAATTTTATTTTTAGTCTGACACGATATTGTAGGTCATGGGGTTAATCCTTTGCAGTGGAAAGTTTTTCACTGGATATAGTCGACATTTTTCGACGAAATATTGAAAATTTATAAAAAGCATTTCTAAAAATATCTTAAAATAATTTTTAGAAATTAATTCTCCTGATTTCGTGATAATTTATGAAATGAGCGAATGATTTGTTTTGAATAAATTTATCATCTATTTACACGACAATCGAACAATAATTAACAAATACATAATCATGATTCTTAATGATTTTCTCCCGGCTTTGAGTGAAAAATGGAACGTTCCAAAATGCTGGGGGAATATTTCAATTAGAAACGGACTTACAATGAAGCTTTTCTAAATAATTAGCAAGAAATGTGTTCAAATGAGAAAAATGATGATTAAACTGTACCGAGCAACGAGAATAACGTCTTAGAACAGCAGAGAGCGAAACGTAAAAACCAGAATCGAAGGCTGCGTACGGACGGTCAACCGGAAGTCACGTAGCGCCGCCATTTTATTCCGCATGGCGGAGCACGGGCGCAGAAGACACTAAAAAAACGTAAAAAGCGATGCATTTATGCGTGGATCGAGTCGAACGTTGACTTTTCTTTGTGCGAGAGAAACGTTCGAGGCGAATAAAGTTATAAATGGCTTCTTTGATATCGATGGCGGCCACAATAGAAAGGAAATAGAGTAGGGACGAGGAACAAGGAGAAAGGAAAACCGATCTAGCGTGTTAATAGAAAGAGAAACTTGTACACCTTCATAACATTCGTCGCGCACAAAAACTCGCAGATTCATTTACACGTGAATTAATCAATTCCAATAACCGCCGCTCTTATTACGCCATTAAGAAGATTTATTACGTCACACCAGTATCAAACACGTCGTTAATATTAAGATCCCCTTAAAAACAAATAAACCAGATGTTCGCTAAGCAAGATCCTAATGTGTTAAAGCAAACAGAATTTAAGGAAAATTGAATATTTACGTAGCATTAAACAACAAAACCTCTGACACAGTTTTACAAAGATAAAAAAAAGATAAAGAAGTCAGTTCGATCATCAAAGATACTCAAAAAGTCAACGACACAACGACCATGTCCAACAGGCACATTCATAAAGAAGAAACAACGACGCAGATCAAAGATCTCCGTATCCAGCGACCTTTCGTCAGCTGTTTTGCATAACCAAAAACCGTTACGTGTACAAACAAACATGGCAACCGTACAGCGACCTCGTCAATGCCTAAAGTACCAATCACAGAAATACCAAAACCGCTCCTAGCATGGATCACTAAAAAACCTCACGATCCTCCACGATCAACAGTACCCAAGATGATCCTATAGAACAACATCACCCAGTACCATAAATAATCTCCCAATTATCCAACGATCCTCTAGTACCAGCCGAGTCTACCGCAATAGAAGAATCCCATAAGCAGCCAGTAAATCACTCGAGCCAAAGAAACCCGAGACAACCGAGAAACCGCAGAAGAATCGGGATCCCGCTCGAGGAGGCGGCTGGAACATCGAAAAGAGACGTCTAGCCCCGATCCGGGCCGTGTACACGCATGAATAATGCCGCTCAGGCAGATCGGCGCGATACGGCGCCGGAATAACAGACGAGGAAGCCTCGAAGCGTGGTGCACCGCCATTATATCATAGGTCGCCGGCGACGTAACCATATGGCGAGGAAAAGAGGCCCAGCTCGGGCAGGACTGTTAGTGAAAGCTATTGAAATTCTGCCACGTGGGTGTCGCAACGTAACTCCGGCCCAGAGAGAAAGAGATGATGATGATGATGATGATGATGATGATGATTGCACACGCCTGCCGGGATGCAGCCCGGAGAACGGCGATGCACCGTTCGAGGCGCGTCGTGGGGGACCGGGATGCGGTCGCTTCGTTGAGTAGACGCGGAACGTGAAACGGGATCGACCAGTGAATGATGATGATGACGACGATGACGATGAAGACGATGAAGATGATAATGGTGATAATAACGACGACGATGAGGTGATGTCGAGTGGCAGTCGCAGAGATGTCGAGAGACGATCGCAGGGGAAAAACTTACCGGAGGCAAGGCAGGCCGCCAGGGCCAATAAGGTCGCGATCCTCGGATAGCTCATAGTACACGGGGCTCGGGGTATGATCCGGCACGGGTCGACTCTGACTACTGACACTTAGTTATCGACCTCGGGACAGAGAGCTTCTCCCTTCACTTGCTCGGTACCCGCTTCGCTCTTTCGCGTTCACCCCACCCGGTGATCGTTTCCCCGCGACCCAGGCTCGCGCGCGCGAGATCGTGCGCTCTCGGTTCCCATGGCGAATAGAGCCGAGCAACGGCTCCCGGGATTTTGGTACCTTGTTAACCCCTTGCTTCACGAGTGTTTGATGGTGTTGCAGGGGGCAATTTGGAATTCGAAATATTCACGCGCGTGAACGAAATAGCAGGAATATTGTGGTAAATATTGTGATGTAATATTGAAAATTATGTGTAAATTGTTAATGAGAAAGTTGAGGGAGAAAGGGGTCAAGGGGTTGGTACAAATATTATTCTGAATGCGAGTTATGTATTATTCTGGTATCGATGATTATAGCTTAGAGAACATGGTAATATGGAGTAAGACTGGAATTTGCTCTGGTTTTCAATGAATTATTGATAACGAAGTAGTTAGATCGATCACGGTTCAGAATCATAGGACAAGGGGTTAACACTAAACCTACCGAGTTAAATTGACTTTTCAAAATTCTTCTATAGCAACTGCAAGAGTGCGTCTATCGAGACTTTAATTGATTTACAATTCAGTTTGTGTATTGCTAAATTGGTTTCTTGAATGATTTCTCAGAGGAATATCTGTTATCTTTTTAATAATCGCAAAAAGAAGAAATCAGGAATGGGTCGTTTTGGGATTTTGTTCTTGATAGTCTATTGAGAAGACTTTTAGAAACATTGTATAGATAGATTTGATTTATAATATAATCGTTGGTATCAGGATGAGGTTCGATCTAAATTCGAAAGAATTGGGTCATGTTTACGTTTGTTAAATTCTGTTTGAAACTTTCACCGTGATTCTAATGAAAAGCTTGTTTCCGCTTAACACGTTCGGCAAGTGTTTGTTTCAAATAACTAACAATAAATCTTCTAAAGAAAATATTAAATGAAACTGAAAGGAGTCGTTGAGTTCCTAAATATAATGTCGTAGTTTAATTTCTAGCAACAATATCTATAGAATCAATTTCGCAAATATGTGACGCTAGCGAACGTGTTAGCCGCCATCTTGTTTCAACGGTTGGAAGTCGGAAATTTGAATTATATCGATGAACACGTGTTGCAGTGTTTGCGATTGCAACCTGGGATTGGAGAATTTATGTAGGATATCTGTCCAGAGTGCCGAGAGAATTGTAAAGATGTTTTATCGATGCAGGAACGGTTGTTTTCGACGTGGATCATTGAACTCTCGGAGATCCTGGATTCGTACGGCTCGCACGCCAGAAGAACTCGTCCCCGTTTCGCCGACATTTCGAAAAGTGAAGAAACTTGTAATCCGTCGCTTCTGGATTCCGGATAAATTGCATAATAAAACGAAACAGATCTTTCCCCATCGTGGATCGCGGTAATCGCTTAATCGATGTAACTTGCTCGGCGAACGGCGAACGCGATGATGCACTTCGATTGACCGAAGAACTGGTAAACGATGTTTTATCGTAGAGCTAACGATTTCCTCCTCGTTAACATTTCCCAGACGCCTGTCTCGTTTACAGGCAGGCAGAACTTTGAGTCGCAATTATTTAGATAATCGTCATTTACATAATTACTTGGATAATCGTCGTTCTAATGGCGATCATGGCAAGCGATGAGCTGGAGAGCCGCTGTTAAAAGTAACTTTCCTTATTTCAATTTTTCTAATCGGTGGAATGTTTACGAAGTTGAAGGAACTCGCGGTATGCAAGTTCATATTTTACGACAAACTTGTTTCTTCGTTTATATTCTGTTTAATTAACCACTGAATACCAATATCGAGCGACTTTCGATGTCGATCAGGATTATCATGGTATGCGCCTTTCATTTATCTTTTTCGTGTGAAGTTTTATTATTGTATACTATTAAATAATGTTCAATATGATATTATTGTAATATTAACGTTGTCGATGATATTATAGTATTCGATATTATAATATTCAATATTATAATATATTATAATGTTGATATTGTCAATAATATTATAGTATTCAATATTATAATATTATTATAATATTAATATTGCCAATAATATTATAATATTCAATACTATACTATTATCATAATATCAATACTGTCAATAATTTTATAATATTCAATATTATAATATTATTACATTAATATTGAATATTATAATACTATTATAATAATATAATATAATCAACGACAACAATTAGATTTCACTTAAAAATCCACAGTGTCATCAATGGTGATCATTAGATTTTTATTCGTTAACGAATTTATACATTTACGAAATATCTAAACTACGCAGCTTCTTGTTTTCCAAGAAAAACGATTTTCCATCGTAATTCCATTTCCTCAATTATGTTTTCGAAGATATTTGCATAAAGATTCACAGGCTAGTAATTGCATATTGTGCATCATACAGTGCCTGCATGAAGTATAGTTATCCATCCGGGAATATAACTGGCCTTATGCAACAGTCATTGCTACGTCGGTCCCGAACAGAGAACCAGATCTCCCAGCATGGACAGTGAAAGCCGACGAATACCAACGATCTCGGTACTCACGATCGGTATTGTCGGTGGGCCAGTCGGATAAACGAAACACATACGTCACGGTCATGTATGCCCGATGAATAATCTGGCCCTTGACGAAACTCGAGACAGAAAATTGCCTCATCGAGCAATTACCGGGAGAAACTACAAATCGACCTCTTTTCTTTCTCTTCTCTTTCGGGAATTCGCTGTTCCAAATAATTACCAGGTCAGAATCATTAAATGGATTATCTGGGAAGACATCGAATAAATCAAATTCTCGGGTCATGTAAATTACGTATAAACGGAACTACGTTCTTGTAATGTATAACACTTGTTCTAATTAACTCCAGTCTAATCTTTAATAGTGCTTTAGTGATATTTATTGAACAATTTACAGTAACTTAGAAATTAATGTTTGCTTATAGAAAGGTGAATTTCACTGTAGAAAGGAGAAACAAGTTTCAAGAAATTTGTAATCGTTCGAATTCGTGACTCTTTTCTGTACTATTTAATTGAGAATTGTACAAAATATCTGAAAATGAGGATATAATGAAGTATTTTGGAATACTTTGTGAATAAAATAATGCAACACTTGCGTTTCTTGAAAGAAATTTTCAATGATATCCAATGTGGAGCGTTGGTGCGTCCAAAATGTCTGCCTGCGTATGGGAAACCGAAAGACGATACAGTTTACGACTTTAAATCAACGAACTGAGCTCGACAATAATATAAATCGTCGGACAGGGTCGCGAGAGCGCGTTTGATCGAGCACATCGTAAATTACGTAAAGAGAAAGGTTGCAATCAGCTGAATTAAGTGAAATTGTCTGGCAGCCCGAGGAACCATTATGAACGGCATATTGTATTCAAACGAGATCGATTTTTCCTGAGATTTGCATCGTCGACCGCAATTGTCTCCTGCTCGGAGATACTTTCTTTCGAATCGAATCGCAAAAACTCGCCGATAAGTCGTCACAGTTTCGAACAAGCCATACTGTTCCTTCCGGGTCTCTTAACATTAACACTTCGCGTACCGGTTAATTTTCAAATTAAATCAATTAATTATCGAATCGCGCAGCAATTTTCAGTGAGATCGATTCATATATAAAAATATTTAAATATATTTCAAACAGATAATCAATTCGAATCGAATTGAATATTTCTTTAAATGCTCCGATAATTAGCGAAGTTGCGTAGCTAAGTGTCTTTATTAAAAACGAGATTGCTCGTTACCAGTACGCAATGTATTAACATAAACGAATCGCTTTGTTCTTGCAACTTATTCATTAAACACTAAATTCTGTCATTAAATAAATGATATCTTTCATTAAGTTACTTGTTTACAACTAATTTACCAAATCCTACTGGAACCCTTTATTTCTCGTTCGATTCAAGTTCTCATTTGAATGTTTCTAGAAACGAAGATGTTTTCAAGATGGCCGACAGATCAAAATGCTGTATAGACACGAACCTTGAACATTCCATAACCTCGAAGACAAGAATGAAGACAGGAAAGTATTCGCTAGTTTAATATATAAAGATTACTTTTATTCTTCACTAATTAATCAATGAGCGAATGGAATTAAATTATGTCCGACGTGGAATGCAACGAATCTTCAGTTGATCGACGAATCCACGTAACAGCCCGTTGTTCGTTAAAAACACGGCCGGTTACGTAAAATCGTGCAAAACCGATTGAAATTCCCAGAAAGTGAATCTAACGGGCTGTTCAGAGAATTTTCCAAGTTTCTTTTCGGCGTATTAGATCACAGTTCCCGATTCGCGTTTCTCCGTGGACCGTAACGAGCCGCAACAAAGTTATCGCCGCCATTAATTTCCGGAGCGCGATCTGTTTACATAAGGAGAAAGGTGTAATCGTCGTGGGAGGTGTATGCAAATGCCACTCGTTTCGTGTACGTGTATCACGGGTGTTTATTGTTCCTAAATATATATATAAAAAAAACAGTATTAAGCGTTACAGATGCACCGCCGAGTAACTGGCACCGTGTCTTTATTTAATTCTTGTTCTTGTAATAGTCCTCGCTGCAACAGAAACGATAAAATACGTATCAGCGTCGTGTTTAACATTGCGAAACGAACAAATTAATAAATACCTTTGTCACAGAACGCTGCAAAATCTTCGCGAAGCTTAAATATTTCTCTAAGAACGCGCCTTAACACTAGAACTACCGTAACAGTCAAAATTACTGGTTCCACAATTATTGATATCTTAAAATCAGTGAATATTCGAAATGATCTTGAAAATAAATAGCTTTGACTTGTATACTGTAATGAATGTCTGAAGAAACCGAAAATAATATTGTTAGAACTTTTATAGGTAGTTCTAGTGTTAATCGTTTTATTCGAGATTATCATAAATACTAACATTAACGTGTAACTCTTTAACGAATATCAACATTCCGGCGAAATGAAGATTTTATATTTGGAAGATTGAATCGCAAACTGATTTAATTTTTCGAACAGCGAGAGATCAGCGGTTAGTTTCCTTTTTTCTATTAACACTATTTCTGAAATTTTCACTTAACATTATTTTCCCAGTTAAATAATTTGTTCTGAATTGAATTTTGGACGTTTCCTACGATTAATTTTATAATCGTTACTGAAAAAGTCGAGTAATTCGTTCGGAATATACGACTAAACTCGGAAGATTTTAATTTAAAAATTCCAAAGGTGTCTTTTGGTGTTTTTGGTAAAAATAGTGTTAATTAAGCAATTGATAATTTAGCTTCATCTATTGAAGGTTTCGTACATTTCAGAGAATCTTCGTCCGCAGAGTTAATATTGAAACTAAAAAAATATTATGACAAAAGAGGATCTAGAACTCATCGTCAATACTCTACCCATCATTTCCCGCGGAATATCACTTCATTTATATCTTTATCAAATCTATCGTTTATATTTCTCTTATTACTATTTTCACTTTTAACCCATTGCCACAAACAACGGCTACAACCGTCCATTTCACGGACTATAATGCATTTATTTGTTTATTCTTCAATAATATGTATTGTTATAGTATTATGTATTAGTACACAAAATGTTCGAAATTCTCGTGGCAGTCAACGCGTCAAAAAGAATAAGCCCAATTATAACAATTAACGCCTCTGGGTTAACCTTTTGCGAACGAACGTCGACATTTCGATCAGATGAAATGTTCATATTTGGAATACTAAGTTGCAAACGAATGATTTAATTACTAGAATAGCAAGTGATCAGCGTTTCCCTTCTTCACTATCGTTCAACCCTTCTATTTCATTGCAACCTCTACCTGTTTTAACAACTTTTTCTATATTTCCATATCCCAATTGTACCATTTAAAGGTAACATTTCAACGACTCCCAAATATTCTTAAATAAATAAATATTGTCATATTGTAATTGAATGAACTAACGTCGACGTGAACCTCAAACTGAGAAACCAAGATCACTTCGGACCTCAAAAGGTTAAGCATTCGATGCACAATTTAGCTTCATAGCAAGCTTCGAGTACTTTAAAAAGTCTTCGTCCGCAAAGGGTTAAACAATCGCGATTGTCCGAATCCAAAACTCACCATCCTGGCACGTTCTCCGGCTCGGTGCACCTGAAGCTCTCCTCGCTGTAGACAGTGCCAGGCTCGCACTGTCCCTTCTGCGGCACGACGCCGTTCTTGCAGATGTAGAATTTCGCGCAGTCCTCCGGATGAGGATACGTCGGATGGGGCAGAATCCTGCCGAGCGGTCCGGGGACGTCACCGTCGGGGCAGACGAAGCCGTCGTCGAGGACGTCTCTCTTCACGTGCTCGCAGAGCCTGCTGGCGTCGGCCGGCCACACGCAGCTGGACATCTTGTCCTCGTAGATCAGACCGGGCGGACAAGGCAACGTCTGGGCCACGCCGTCGATGCAGTTGACGAAACGATCGCACGCGGTCGGGTCCTCGTGCTTGAAGTATCCATTAGCGCGGGGACATCCCTTGCTGGACTGTGGCTCCTCTGGACAGACAAGTACGGAAATAGTTTTAACACTAAAACTACCGGACTAAAAATGACCCATTCCTGATTTCTTCATTTTGCAATTATTGAAATGTTTCCCGGAGAAAGTATTAAAGATATTGATTTAGGAATACGCAAACTGATTTATAAATCAATTGAAGTCTCGGTAGATGCACTCTTGAAGTTTCTATAGAGGCATTTCAAAAAGTTTAATTGCTCGGTACTTTTAGTGTTAAGCTGGATAGATTCGTTAGTAGCTTTGCTACCATTTCTTCAGTGACGATCTCCTCGTTTGTAATGTCTGACGAGGTTCAAGGAATCTTTAGAATTAAATATTGAAAAGTAAAATTGAAAAGTCATTAAGTTCCTAAATGTACAATGTCGCAACTTGTAACTTTAAATACATTCAATATTAAATAAACTAAATGTTGTATGGAAATATTGTGATGTTTGATTAATATACTTTTATAGTCGAGTGTGAATAGTTGATATTTATATATCATATATTTCATCACATATTTATATATATATTTATATCTATAACAGTTTATAATTTCCATTGTTTGATAGATTAATGTGGACGAATGTGAAATTTTTTGATAATTGTTACTTCATTTTTCTCTCTTAGTAAATAGGAGAGGTCATTAATGAACAGACACTCTTTCAAAATTTGATGTTACGTAATCGATCGAATACACAATCCTTTTCGAATCGGCTATGAGAAATTCCATTCCCTGTATGCAGGATTACTAGCTTCAACAGTAACACACGAACAACAGTAATATCTTCGAATATCTAATTAGTAAATTGCGGAAGTTTATACGAATTCAAATCTTCATAGACAACTGGAAGAAAGTAAATCGAGCTTGTATATATACCAATAACTCTATGAAATTCTTATAACCCAAACTAATTAAGTGTACTCTAGTGAAACCTAAGAAGCTATACTACACTGAATCATTAACCATCTTACCACAATCAGCGACAAATTACTTACCAAAACGACGATGACAAAACTATCAAGCAACTCCCACAACTCATCCAAAAAATCACGCGTTACACTAGAAAGCCCCATTAAAAATAATGACTCGGAGTCCACTATCGAAAATTCGTTTCTCCCATTAACAATTCCATTTTTAAACCTCGGAACTATCGAACCATCAAAGTAATGCGAAGAAGCGAAGCTCGATCTATCGACTAATGCATCGCCGACGCTCCCATCGTCGGCAAAACAAAGAAACGGCTTCGAAATCGGTGATTACATCGGTCCCGAAAAACGGCTGGAATTCTTTTGTCCCTCCCTCGGAATTCCGCGAGAACGATACGGATTAGCATATGCAGATTCGCCGGGGCGGTCGGAGGCGGCAGCGTCAACGAAGAAAGTAAAACGTCGCAGAAAAACCGAGGTCCAAGAACGAATTTGGCAAAGAATGCACCGCGAAACCGGTTTACCCTAATTTATCACAATCTTTAGCAACAGGCCGCGGCCGGGGATCTAATCGTTGCTCTCTTTCGCCGCGCACACGCGCGTATACCCGCCGCGGCGGCCGAACGGAACCAGAATTCCATTTTTAGAAACGGGAACATCGGTGGAGGCAAAATTCGAATCGGCCTGTTCGTGTCGGTCCGAGCGCGATTCGCGTTGGCGCGACGCTTGAAAAATAGAAGATCGTGTGACCAGAATATTCCAACGTGCGCGATCGGTACACGTCACTTTCACCTTTGGTTTCGCGCTGCTCCGTATCGGTCTACAATCTTTCCGAGATTTTATTCGAGCGCTCGATTTGCTTCTCCCGTTCGCCGCGAGAAAATGCTCGGACTGTTTTCCTTGTTTTCAGGCTCGTTTCTCGTTCTTTGGAAAACGCTCGACTTCATTGGACCGATTGTTCGCGATTCTTGTTTGCAGTAATGTGTTTTGTACGGTGATTGTGTAATTTCTGATAGGTTTATATAATTTGAGATTTGACGGGGAATTTAGATGTTCTCTGTTGGAGGTGTTGACAGGTTTTTTCGATTCCTTCAGTGGTCACGGGTAATTAATATTGAAGCGACAGTGTTAAATTATTTGATGGATTACGGTCATTTCTGTACAGCTGTTGGAGTATGAGAATTTTTAGTGATCTCTATAATTTAGCTCTGCTACTGTGTTTAACCAACGAGTCTTTCTACTTGGGTTTATGCCTGTTAATAAGACGGTACTTTCGCCAAGATACTTAAATTTAAACGATCGTATGGTAAAAGAGTAGACACGAGGAGAATCGAAGAATAAACGGCCACATCCGCTACGAGTATTAATAGCCAGTGAACGATCAGACGCGGATTAGCCGATAATATTCGAAAGTACACGTGTTCGGCGGTGATTTGTTTTCCAACGGAATTGTGTCACGATCTGTAGAAACCGAATGTTATGCGGATCGACGTTAAATCACAGAATCTTCTCGCAACGGTGAAACTTGCGAAACGCAGCGGAACAAGAATAGAGATCAAATTGAATCCAACATTCCTGCCAATAGCATTGTCTCTTATATCACCTACCATTCACTACGCCCACCCGACAAACTATTCACCATGGAACCACCATTAACCCTTTGCGCTCGAGAGGCGACTCTCAGTCGCCAATCGACTCGGCGCAGGAAAATTATAAAGTTTAATATTGAATGTTGCCGGTCTTTGCAAAATAATTGAAAAGTGCCAAGCTCGATCGCGCTTTCGTTTCAGTTCAGAAACCTCGCTCTATTTTTACATAGAGGGATTGTAAATATCGTTCCGTTTCTGCATTTCTAAGCAGATGACAAAACTAGTAGAATAAATAAAGGTAAGACAAATAAATGAAGTTAACCTTCTGCACTCGAGAGGTGACTCTGTTCACCACCAGATTTCATACGGTAATACTCTAAAATTCGATATTTAATATTACACCTTGCATGACGCATCAACTTGAGAAACAATAAAATCATTCCGAAAATGTTCAAATATTTCTACCGAAGAACCGAGTGCAAAGGGCTAAACAATTCAATAAACCAATAAATCATACACCTTCAACCAGCAACATACACTTCAAACCCAACATACTCCCTTTCCCAAAAACCAAACATCATCGAAACGTCGTCAAGAACCGACAGAAAAACCAGTAAAATCAACTTACGAAGGAGAGTCCTATCGCCGCAAGGCACGTTAGCAGGTATATCGCATAGCTCCTTCTTGGGGTTGTCATCCCTGAAGACGAGGCCGTCTTTGCACAGCTTCTCCTCCGCTTTGCCGTCCAGGCAGACGTAATACAAGTCGCATTGCTCCTGGTCCGGGAAGAAGCCCTTCGCCTCCGGGCACCGGAATTGCGCCCTGCTCAAGGTCACCGTCGCACTGACCAACAAAAGGGTGAACACTCGACGGAACATGGTCCCCTACTCTGGTTTCAACCCTTAACTCGATGCCACAGGCTGAACACGATCTTCCTTTATCCTCTCTCCCTTCTTCGAGTTACTCTTCTTCCTCTTCCTCCTCTTCCTCTTCTTCTTCAGCTACCTCTGCTCCTCTTCTCCGTCCGTTTCCTCCGCTCCTCTTCGTCTTCTCCCTTAGCCTGCTCTTCTTCCTCTTGTTCCGCCGCCTCTTATTCCTCGTCTGGTCCCTGAAGCACGCAGGGACGTGGGTATAACGTGAGTGCAGGTCTGAAACTGGTCCTGATTCGTTCTGTCGGCACACCACCACTGCATCCTATCCTTCCCTGCATTTCACAACACCCCACCCCCCTTTCGCCGAAACTCCTT